GTAGGTTTGAGAGATGATCGAGGGTGGAAAAATCGTGCACCGCCGTTTAAGTTCGATGATCTACATCCTGGACAACCTATTTCAAAGTGTACGCTTTATATGATAACTTTAAAAAAAAGTTGTACGATATTTTTTAACAATGGGAAGAAATTGAAGAAAAAATGTAAAACCTAATTGATTAATTATGTAAAAATCGACGAAAATCATTCTCATAAAATCATCACGACCAAAACAGCACAAAATTACTTTATATATTATATACATGTTAAAACATTCATATATATTTTGTAAAACTGGAAAAGGTTTATCTTACTATGATATATAGATTGATATATGTCTATGATATTCACTCATGATCGATTTCTTCCCAACTATTTCTAAAATAAACAACGTTGAAGCCTTATTTAAAGCATTATTTATTAAAAATGATGTACAAAGTCTTAAGAAATATAGTTAGTGGAGAATTAAATAAGAAAGAAAAAATTTAAAAAGGTCCGACTTATTTTTCTCTCATGATCAAAATCCATAATTACTTCAAACGTTCAGTTTCAAATTAAATCACGAACAAGGACGTAAATCAAACGTAAAAAAGATCTGGCTTCTAATTCACTCATGATCAAAATCTCCAAACTAATTCTAAAATAAACAACTTCAAAGCTTTATTTAAAACAATATTTATAATAAATGATAAACAAAATCTTAAGAACTATAGCTCGTGGGTAATTAAATAATAAAGAAAAAAATTTAAAAAAAACCTACTTATTTTTCGCGTATGATCAAAACCCACAATTATTTCAAACGTTCAGTTTCAAATTAAATCACGAACAAGGACGTAAATCATACGTAAAAAAGATCTGGCTTCTAATTCACTCATGATCAAATCTCCAAACTAATTATAAAATAAACGAATACAAAGCCATATTTAAAACAATATTTATGAGAAATGATATATAAAATCTCAAGAAATGTAGCTAGTGGAGAATTAAATAATAAAGAAAAAAATAAAAAGATCCGACTTATTTTTCGCTCATGATCAAAACCCACAATTATTCCAAACGTGGCCCAGTTTCAAATTCGTATTTAAAACCTTGTTGATCATAAATGAAATATAGATACTAAATAGGTAAAGTAAACATAAAAAAACAATAACATGAACATAAATGTAATATAAACATAAAGGTAAACATAAATCACGAACAAAGACGTAAATCAAACGTAAAAAAGATCTGGCTTATAATTCACTCATGATCAAAACCTCCAACCTAATTCTAAAATAAACGAATACAAAGCCATATTTAAAACAATATTTATGATAAATGATATATAAAATCTCAAGAAATATAGCTAGTAGAGAATTAAATAATATAGAAAAAAATTAAAAAGACCTGACTTATTTTTCGTTCATGAACCAAACCCACAATTATTTCAAACGTGGCCCAATTTCAAATTCAAATTTAAAACCTTGTTGATCAGAAATGAGATATAGATACTAAATAGGTAAAGTAAACATGAAAAACAATAACATAAACATAAATATAACATAAACATAAAGGTAAACATAGATCACGAACAAAGATGTAAATCAAACGTAAAAAAGATCTGGCTTCTAATTCACTCATGATCAAAATCTCCAAACTAATTCTAAAATAAACAACTTCAAAGCTTTATTTAAAACAATATTTATAATAAATGATAAACAAAATCTTAAGAACTATAGCTCGTGGGTAATTAAATAATAAAGAAAAAAATTTAAAAAGAAACCGACTTATTTTTCGCGTATGATCAAAACCCACAATTATATCAAACGTAGCCCAGTTTCAAATGCTTATTTAAACCCTTGTAAAATGAAATAAAGATACTAAATAGTAAAGCTACTACAAGTACAAAAATCACGACCAAAGACGTAAATCATACGTAAAAGTAAAAAAGATCTGGCTTATAATTCACTCATGATCAAAATCCGCCAACTATTTCAAAGGCCTTCATCCTTCCAAGCCTTATTTATAACAATAATGAAAATAAATGAAATGTCTTAAGAAATAAAGTTAGTGGAGAATCAAAATCAAAAAAGAAAAAAAAGCAATCAAACGTAAAAATTTTTTTCTTTCGTTAATAATCGAAACCCATAAATATTTCGAAAGTAGCCCAATTTCAATCCGTATTTATATAAGTTGTTGATGATAAATTGATTACGAAATACAGAGTCTATATAAGTAAAACTAGTATAGAAACAAATCACTCACACAAAAAAAAAGAGATACCTAAGTCAAACGTAAAACGAATCTGATTCGCTCATGATCGGCTACTACTTCAAAGGTTCTTGGAATTCAAGCTTTATTTATAACAATATTGATAATGAATGATATAGAAAACAAAAAATCTAACGAAGTAATCTAAATAAATAAAGCCGGTCGAGAATCGCATAACACACCAATAAAATGATCCGTCTTAAAATTCGTTTACGATCAAAACCCAAAATTATTTCAAAGGTCAAATCCGTATGTACATCAATATTAATAATGTATGATATACAAAAACACAAAATTTTAAATAATGTACATAGTAGAGAACCAAAAAAGAAAAATACACAAATCAAACGTAAAAAGGCAACTTAGTTTTCTCTTACGATTAAACAATAATTTCTAAATTGGCTTTTTCAAATCCGTATTTATAAATTGATAAATAATTGAATATAAATGAAAAGCAAATACAGAAAATAATTTGTAAAGCTGGTTTACAAAGAAATCGCAAAAAAGACATCAACCAAACCTAAAAATAATCTGATTCTATTTTCGCTTTTGATCAAAACCCATAATTAATTCAAAAGTGGGCCAAATTCAAACCCGTATTTAATACCTTGTTGATCATAAATCCAGCTATCGTTCAAAAACAATCACAAAAAACAAAGAAGAGATTTGTTTGGTTTATAATTCACTCATGACCAAAACCCTGTACTATTCGTCTTTAAATCCGTATGATAAACGGTATTGATCATAGATGGTAGATAAAATACAGACTAAATAAAGCTAAATTAGAAGAATTTATATAAAAAAATCAAGTAACAGAAAAACAACCACGAATGTATTGGGTTGTCCGGAAAATAATGCAGGATTTTGGTATTAAACAAAAAAAAAGAAACTAGTTACTTTAAAGCAATGTTCTTTAATCAAAATAATTTCCCATACTCTCAATACATTTCTCCCAACGTGTTGGTAACTTATTAATTCCGTCTGAGTAGAATTCAGAATTTTTAGAATTGATAAAGTCAATAAATGCATTTTCCAGTTCCGTTTGATTTTTGAATATTATGTGTTGTAAGTAGTGGTCCAGGTGTCTAAAAAAATGGTAGTCAGTAGGCGAGAGGTCCGGAGAGTAGGGTGGGTGAGGCAAAGTTTCATAGCCAAGCTCCAATAATTTTTGTGACGTTACACGTGACACATGTGGTCGAGCGTTGTCATGCAACAAAATGGGCCCTTTCCGATTGACCAAAGAGGGCTTCATTACTGCCAATTTCTGATGCATGGTATTAATTTGGTTACAGTATGATTCAGCATTGATGGTTTCGCCAGGATTTAAGAAGCTGTAGTGTATTAAACCAAATGAAGCCCACCATACCGTAACCATTACCTTTTTTTGATGAGTTGGGGGCTTTGGAAAATGTATTGGAGCTTCTCCTTTGTCGAGCCACTGTCCAGAACGTCTAGTGTTATCGTAGAGAATCCACTTTTCGTCACATGTAACAATTCTGGCCAGAAATGGGTCATTTTTGTTTCGACAAAGAAGTGATGCACAAACATCAAAGCGCTGATTTTTTGGCGATCGTTTAATGAGTGTGGAACCCAATTTTCGAGTTTTTTCACTTTTCCAATCGCCTTGAGGTGGTCAGCGACGGTCGTTTTACTGACTTTGAGTTGCTCTGCAAGTTCTCGAACAGTTGTTTTGGGGTTTTCTTCCACCACTGATCGCAGAACATCATCATTAAGAGAGGAAGGCCTTCCACGACCTTATTCATCTTCAAGGCTGAAATCTCCCTCCCGAAATTTTTTAAACCACCTTTGCACAGTGCACTCATTAACACAACCCTCGCCCCAGACTTGGTTAATGTTTCTAGCCGTTTGGGCTCCGCTTCGGCCGAGTTTAAACTCGTAAAAGAAAATCGTACGAAATTCTCGCTTTGACATTATAAGGATGACTGAATTATTTCCAAGTAGCGGAATGCTACAGAGGTAAACAAACAATATCATTTGGAAGAGGATTAATAAGTGTTGACATTCATACAAATGAGTAATCCTGTAAACGTAAACAGAATATTTTATATAGATTTTTTTTAATGAAAACTTAAAATCCTGCATTATTTTCCGGACAACCCAATAAAAAAAGATCTTATTTGTAATTTGTTCATGATCAAAGACCCGCCTTTATGAAGTAACTTATAGTAAGATAGATCATGAATGAAATACGAAAATAAAGAAAGTACTCGAGTAAAACGAGTTCACAATCAAATAACACACAAGGCACAGAACAAACGTAAAAAAGGATCTGATTTACGATACCAAGCCGGCTATTTCAAAGGCGACGGCCTTCAAAGCCGTATAAACTCGATCATCAATATTAGACGAAATCCAAAAATCAAATTATTCAATTTGTAAACAATCAAATTACAAAAAGATAAATCAAACGCCCAACCGGATCTGATTTATAATAAACTCGTGATAAACACCCGCCAAAAAAGATTTTCAAGTGCACCGGATTTCAATGCCAAGGATGCCGTTTTAAAATCGCTTTTGGTAATTTTTTAAGAAAATGTTTAATAGTTTTTTTAATGTATAAATTGATTGTTCTATTCTATGTTAAATTACGGCAAAAGCTTTGGGACATTCTTTAGCGCACAATATATAAACTGATGTTTAGGTTGTTTAATTATTAGAGAACTGTTTTTCTTCTTTAAAAACTACTAATTTGCCCTGAATATAATTAAAAAGTGATAGATTTGTACTCACCTAGTAATCTCTTGACTTCTTGCAGGTTGAGGTATAGGTCCAGATGCGCCGAGCAGAGGTTGGTGATGACGAGGAGAGCCGTGCCGGCCAAGAGACACCTTCCGAAAGCGTGCATCTCGCAAATAAAATTCCTCCCCGGCCGTAATCCTTTTCAGAAGAACAACTCGCGGAAAGAAAAAACAAAAGAAAACCGGCGAGAGCGAACGGACCCGAGCTCACGACGGACAAGGCATTACTGAAGACGCGTGCGGGGGAGAAAGGCGAACGTTGCCCCCAACCCCGCCGAGCCGGACTCGGCCGTACAAGAACGGAAACGTCCGAATGTCTGTTTTTACTATCTGCTTCTTTGACTTTCCACGCTTCTGATCATTTCTCACGGCTTGTTAATACTTGTAATTCTATAAGCATTTATAAATAACAGGATACAATCGTGAGATTTTATCAATTTCTCTTCTTCAGGTCTCTAGCTTTAAGACTTCAATCGGAAGTGTTCTTCAGCTGTCCATTCACCTAAAAAGGTCTTGAAGAAGAAAGCAAATCTAGTTTTTACTGCCAAATTTCGACCTATTTTAAGGTCATCATCAGGGCACAAAACATTAAATATGTCTATAACGGACGTTCGGCTATTCATGTTACAAACTTTGCCAGTAGTTTCTATATCCAAAAAGTTCAAATTAACTATGGTACAAATCTCAACAATTTCGGAGTTTGTTCATTTTTTCTGATTTTTTAAGATTTCATGACCTTGCTTCAAATAAACAATGATAACTCCAAAACTAAAAGGTTTTGGACAAATCCATTGATACCATTGAAAACTACGTTTAATTTCCAATAAGATCTGATCAATACTAAACTTGTAAATCTTCGTGAAATAAGTGTTTTAGTAGCTAGAATTTCGAAAAAAAAAAACATTTTAAACTAATTATTCTTTTTATGTAAGTTCTTGTTTGACATCAAAAAGTCAATGTCACGAGGATGAGATAATATGAACTAGTTAAGAAGAATTTGAGTTTCAGCAGTAGACCCCGGTGCCAGATTCCAGGGGAGATGTTGCAATGACATCTAGCACACTAGGAATTTGATGGAATTTGGTAATTATGGAAGCAAAATTGGTGGCCAGGAATAATGTTGTTTGAGGGTAGTATTTCTTCCAGCCGGGTGAAATTAATACGAAAATATTAAACATGCTAAAATAAACCGAAAATTTAAATTGTGCGAGTTCTTTTTTTATGAATGCGTGGTGATGATGTACATACAGTATGGTGTTTTACGACCAGGGTCTGCCCATGCTCGCTGCTTTTGTCTATGCCACGCGTTTGGCCATCTTCAGTGGTGGTTTTGAAGTAATTATTCAGAAATCGTGAGATGCGGTCTTGTGTGATGTAGTTTCAGAAAAACATTTTCTTTATCGTGCCAACGTTTCGATCTTTATTGAGATCATCTTCAGGGCTCAAAGTGTTTTTCTTCTGTGTAATTGTGCCATTTTTGCCCCTCTCGACACGACACGCAACAATGGCACAATTACACAGAAGAAAAAAACTTTTTGCCCTGAAGATGATCTCAATAAAGATCGAAACGTTGGCACGATAAAGAAAATGTTTTTCTGAAACCTACATCACACCAGACCGCATCTCACGATTTCTGAATAATTATCGATTAACGGTCACTAATCACCACACGTTTTGAAGTAAGAATTTGAAGTCAACATCTTTTCCTTTCACATTTACGTATTCAAATGACACACGAAACACGTCCAATGCCGCTTGGACAAGTCGATCAGGATATTCAAAGACGACCGAATTACTCGTTCACTGCCTGGCAGACGCCAAGAAGAAATACTATGTGAATTTTCTACTCACTTTGCCAATTTTCATATTAAACTTTCCCATTTACGATTCCAAAGGTAATTTAAGAGCGGTATGAACTACAGAAAAATTTCACTTTCTATGTTGGGTACATTAACTGTAGAGTTGTTGGTTTGAAAATATGAAACGTCAGGATGATGTCGTGATTAATGATTCATACATCAAGGGAAATAATGAGCAATTAACTACCGAACAATTAATCACAATCCATCTAGAGGCGTCTAATATCATTCCACTATTTGATATCCAGCGAGAATAGGCGAAATCCTGTTTCATATTTGTGAACGGCACAAATTGCTTACCTACCGATTTATTAGCAAGTATATTTAAGACCGAAAAATGTAGTGGTTAACCCATTTACGTTTTAGTGGTCAATTGACCAAGTTACTTCTTTCAATTAATTATTCTTTCCATGTAAGGTCTTAGTTGAGAAAAAAAAGTCAGTGTCACAAGCGGGATTCGAACCCACGACGACCTTCGGCTAAATACGCCGCTACTCTACCACTTGAGCTATCGTGGGTTCGAATCCTGCTCGTGACACTGACTTTTTTATCTCAACGAAGACCTTACATAAAAAGAATAATAATTTGATAAGGAGTAACTTGGTCAATTGATCACTAAAACATAAATGGATTTTTTTTTCAAAGTTGAAGAACTTGCTACGGTTATTCTAAACTACTATTTACAAACCTAGAGACCAGCAAATTTCAGAAAACGTACTACATTTTTAGGCGTGCAATTGCTTTTTTAATTACTTTTGTCAAAGATGAAGAAATTGATGAAGGAAAAGAAAAAAACCATGGTTGAGGGATTGGTGAAGTAGAAAGATTAATAATATTTTTAAAAAATCTTAAGGAAATTTTAAATGAATTTATGAAACGTTTTTAATTTTGATTCAAAATGCTCTCCATCCTCCACATTGTATTTTCGACGAGCTGCCGTCGCAATAAACCCGCAAAACCCGTACATAAGATGTACATCAGCTGTACAACAGTATTAGACAAAGTAGTGTTAACAAGATATCACATAGTTAACTAAAAACGTTTTGAATCTTAAAAATGCTTTATTGCGGAGAATAATAATACAATAATTCTTTAATCAAAGTTGCAGTCGTTTTGGTAAATAAGTAAAAATTTGCACTATTTCGGTTTCGAACCCAGATAAAGTTCAATAAATTCATTCAAAATTTCCTCAAGTTTTTTTTAAGTTTTCCATGTTACCAATCCGTCAACCACGGTGTTTTTCCTTTCAGCCATCAATTTCTTCATCTCTGAAATAAGTAATTAGAAAAGGAATTACACCACTAAAAAGAATATTAAATGGAGAATGTTTTCTGAAATTTGCTGGTCTCTAGGTTTGGAAATAGTAGTTAAGAATCACCATAGTAATTTTTTTAAATCAAAGTTCTCGCTACTAAAACGCTTATTTCATGAAGAATTACAAGTTTAGTATTGATCAGCTCAAGTTAAACGTAGAACGTAGGAATTTAACGTAGTTTTCAATGGTATCAACGGATTTATTCAAAACCTTTTAGTTTTGGAGTTAGTATTGTTTATTTGAAGCAAGGTCGTGAAATCTTAAATAATACAATAATCATCAGATTATATCAGAAATGTGGAATAACTCCGAAACTACTGAGATTCGGATCATAGATGTAGGATCACTAGGACTTTTTGGTTCCATTTTTGATGTAGAATCTGTGGGAAAAGTTTCTAACACGAGTAGCCGAACACCCTTTATATTGACATATTTAAGTTTTTACAGACGATCTCAAATTTCCTTGAGAACCGACTCAGTCTCAACATTGTCCAGGTCTGTAACCAATTTACCAGTAGTTACCTATTTTGTTACTATCCACTGTGATATAGGCTGGTCAGTGTTTCCGTGCCTTGCGGTGGGCTTGAGTTGCCAAAATGGCAATGTTTTCAGAAGATGAACTTCTGATTATTGCACTGATTTTGGTTATAGTCACATCGCGCAATGTTCTCAAAGAAGATTTTACATGCATGGACTTGTCACATTCCTTGGCTAGCGAGCTGGTGCAATGTGCAATTGAGCCAAGTTCAGAAGTGCCCTGAAAAGAGCACATCCATACATTGATGAAGAAGAGAAGAAGCGAGAAAGCGGAAGTGGGTCCGTTAAGCATGTAACAAAAGAGGGATAGAAGGGGAATTTGCTACACTTTACAAAGAATTAGCGGACGATAAAGTAAAATTTTCCTTGCTCTGTAACTTAAGACTTAAACTTCTTAATACACTAAGAAATACGATATAAGCACGCATAAGTAATTACGTTACTTCTCAGTTGGATTCGAGGAGTGGAAGTCGAAGACAAAATTTACCTTTACAGGGTGGGAACGCAATGACAGATGCATTTATGAGAAATATTCACTGATTATTTATTATTTCAGTTCTGATGTTGGATCTCTTCAGTCGTTATCACATACCCAACAACCCTATAACAACTTCCAATCGTAGTTCATAATTCATTATACCATGTTGCAATTTACACTCTAAACAATACTGAAATATACACGTACTTTACTCACAGTCTTTTTTCATTTTTGTTCCTATTTTCCTCCGGAGTGTATTCTTGAAACCTGAATCTATGTATTTTGAATTTGCCTGATCAAACAACACAGAATTACACCGCACGAACTCAACGAGTTTATCGTCGTTCATGTTTCACGGCCGTGAAAAATGTAAGATATCGTCTACAAGAAATCCGACGATAACGGTCCGGGGACAGATGTTCCCATCTTTACTAATCGATGTTGAAACTTATGAGGATCTTTTACGTCCGGACATATTCCCGAGCGGACTTCTCAGACGCCCAGTGTTCTCAAAAAGAACACCAAGAAGATTTTACATGCATGGACTTGTCACATACCTTGGCTAGCGAGGTGGTGCAATGGTAACCAAGTTCAGAAGTGCCCTGAAAAGAGCACATCCATACATATGCCTTGAAAAAGGGAGTTTTGAGGTTTCTGGCTCAGCTTTTCAGCCGTGCCTTTCACCACTCCCGGAGAGATATAGAAGGCACTGTATCTCCGGCTCCGGTTAGCCGGTACCCTCCAGCTAAGTTTGTTTGCAAACCACGACCAATACGAGTCCAACCTCAATTAGTAGAGTCGCTTGGATCCTCTACTCCCGTGGTTCAGATTTATTTTTAAGGTGGGACTGATTGCCCACCTGGGAGTTCGTCCTAACCCCCTACTGATGCACCCATTGCCTGGGGGTGCGGGTTCAGTAACCCAGGAAGCCTCTGCCAAATCAGTGGGAGAAGAGAAAGAAAAGGAAAGGGTAAGGGGGGAATTTTGCCTCCATCATTGGTTACCCCAAAGCACCGGAGTTGATGGTAGGGCTTGCCTAGGCCCATA